ATCCAAACAATGCGCAAGGAACAAAGCATATTAGTTCTTCCAACAAAAATATTTGTGTAGTCTATGAACTGTCCATTAATTAATAAGTAAAAGAGTGTAAAATTGTCCTCTCAACTGCATTGATGCCTGATTCTACAGATTTATTGATCTAATGTGTTGAATCGGTAAATGCATTGGGGCTGAGTGAATGTGACACGACACTGACATCAAATTAATAAGTAACAACAGCATACAGATGAACCTGATTTTTATCCAAAGCTTAATTCACTTATTAAAGGGTCAGCGCCTTGCAGTAATCTTACCTTAAACTCGAGGTTCGAACCCGCAACCTGCAATAATCAGTTGCAACTCTTAACCACTACACCACAGCACAAACTCACCACTAAAACCGACGTCCTGACCGCCTCCGACACGCTCTGCCGCAGCTCCGCCGCCGTGCCCGGTTTACTGAGCCCACGGGTGAATTTACGCGTCTCCGCATGAGTCGGTACTGACATCTCGGTCTACAAACTTTCATTAATTTCCAGCAGACATGTAAAGAAATCAATTAAAGAACATTCAAAGTCTGTTTTCTCCGCTGTCCCGACTACAAGCACGCACCTTGGCGAGCGCCCGAGATATAAAAATCCTTCTTAAAAGCCCTCCGCTTGTCCAGCCGTAAACTCTCATGTTCAGATGAACGAGACGGATCCTTTAGCGCATGTTTGCAGTGCTTTAAAGACCCCAGAACGTGTTGGCGGTCTAAACGAAACCCTTCCCCGTGCTGTCATGTCCGTGTCAAGTTTAACACGCGCCGCTGAAGTCGGGCGTAATCCGGTCGAGTCTCGACTCCCTCCCCTCACAGTCTAGATCGGGAATTTACGATTTCTACTAAGAGCAAGTCCTACTGCTTAATATTCATGAGCAAAGCCAACATCCCCAGAAACGTCATCCCAACTTTATCCATTATTCATGAAGAAGCCTTCACGCAAAGCGCGCGTGATTCTATTCATATTAATGAGCTAATTGTTTGCCATAGTAGGAATCGTTCATTCTAAATCTACCCCGACTGGTATTTAATTAAACACATAGGCTACTACAGGATTCGCGTATTCAAAGGACTTTCAGAAATGCAAATATATTGGTCGTTTCACTTTCTCTTCTCAAACGAGCATCAGGCTCTTGTTCCCAGGGGCCAGCAGTAATATAATGGGGTAAATCTCAGCAGGAGGGCCATACATACCTGTGTGTGAAATCTCATTAGAGCTCCACTTTACACGCTAGAAGAGTAAGGAAATCCTCTCTAGTAAGAGCACCAGATGGCAAGTGTGAACACGACACACTGAAGTGTAATTCTAACTATTCTAACTACCCTCTCTATCATTTTTGTTTGTCAATTTGTTTGTCATTTTTAAAACGATTACAATTATATCATAAAAATCAAATACTAAAAAGAATCATATTGTGATAATAATAAAAATATTTACTTTGTACGGAAAAAAATAGATTGTTTCTGAATTAAAATGAACTAAATAGGCTGGTGAGAATTTAGGTAATTGACTTAAACCAGCAGTCAAATAAGGTGAAAAATATTTTAACATTTTAATATGAATATTATTTTTTATTATTTAGTTATGTGTAATTTTAAAAATGATCATTTGTGTTATGTGGGATTATAATGACATTTCCCATTTTTAGAGAGAATAAAAAGAATGGATTGTTATTTTAATATTCATTCATTCATTCATTCATTTTCTGAACCTCTTTCTGCTACTGTGGCCAAGAAATGATCCCCTTCCATTATAAACTGAATCACCCATATACACTAAAAAGTCATATATTATTGCATTTTAATGCATATACGTGTGTATATATAGGTCTATATAAAATAGAAAATGATTTACTCTGATTTACTATTGGTAATCGGCCTCATTGATGATATAATATCGCCCTCTGCTGACCAGTGTAATGCACGGTGAAGAGCCAGAGAAAAGTCGACCGAATTAGGTTTTATTCCTTTCATTTCCAATAAACTCTCTCTTTCTCTCTTTCCATTCATTTTAGCAGTGTTGGGCCGTATGAAACTAAAACAGTTTATCTGCGCATTTTAAAACTTTGCTTCTTATGTGGACTAAACTAACCTGTAATAGGGGAGAGTGGGGTAAATTGACCCACCCCCTGCATCTTGGCAACTGTACATTTTTACTGTCATGTGACCTTGTATTTTGGAACCACCCATCATTTCTGCCTGACTGTGAAAAGGAGAAACACTTGGGAGGAGTGGAAGGCACCCATAGTTTAGTTTAGTTTTATTTAATTTAATTTATTTTGATAAAGACAGTGTGCAAGTGCACCAAATCCTTCTCTGATAAGAACCAGAAGATGCTTTTCATCACATTATAATCATTTATATCTTTCCACCTGTAGTCCCTAATGGCCTGTTCGACACTGCAGAAAAGCTAGCATGCCAAGAATAGTTTGACTAAAATGTTTATTAGATTCAGTGACATTTATTCCTTCATTCTAATTCAGCTTTTATTTAATTTTACTCCGCAAACTAGTCTGTTTTGCGAAGGTTACAACTTTGGTGTTCAACATATTGTTTCAGAAATGCAAACAATTAAAGAATGTAATTTAAACTACATTTGGTTGGTTCTATGTTGTTTAAGTTAGCTTTAAGACAATAAATGATACGGTTTGTCACAGGAAATTTGATTATTAAATTAGTTTTTAAAAAGTGGTAAATTATCTTCAAAATTTCACATGGGGTTGAATCAGATTCAGTCAGTTTACACCCAGATGGTGCATCTTACCCCCGGATCAACTTACCCCCACCCTGGGGCAAATTGAGCCACAGGAACACTTTTTTATAAGAAGCCATGTGTTTAGAACCCTTTGTTCTGGATACATTCTGATAATTTAAAATGATAAGAAACATCCTGAAATTACTTTCGATACTTTCATTGTACTTCTGCCTCATTTTCTCTTATTTTGAGGATCACATAAGTAAAAAATGGCTCATCTTACCCCACTCCCCCCTATACAGTTGTGATGTATACTGCACCATGCCTAAGGTGAATGCTTCTTAGTTTGGTGAAAATTATATTTCTAAAATGACAGTGAGGGGTGTCAGTCTTCTTACAACCTTGAATAACAAAATATCCTTTCTTCATTATCAAATGCTACATGGTGAGTGAAATAAAAGTAGCATTAAATACCTTTTGTGTGTTATGCTCTTAATGGCACTTTAACTCTATAAATATAAGCTTCAGTAAAGTTTGTCAGAATTTACATGTTGAAGAAATGTACTCATATCTTTTCCCAGACTCAGACTTGCAAAATGGAAACGAACAGAAATACCCAACATGGTTTTGGCACATTGGCTTCTGGAACCCAACATTGTTTCAGCTGATAGAAACAAAGTCTAAAACATAGAAACATAGAAATTTGTACTATAAAAAACCATGGCACTGAAATGGATTGGCCTCCTTTTAGAGGCAACAAGTGACACTTACAGTTAAGTGTCTTGTTTACAAAATGAGATTCCGTAAAAGCCCAGTTAAAAATGCAGGGAATGCTGAGCCCGGTCTCATGAAAGTGCGTATAAATAGTACGCCAAATAAAAATGAAAACTAGTGGTATTG